TGACTCTCTGTAAACCGCTTAGAGAGGGCTGAAAGCCCTATGAAGCGGTATATAAGTCTACTGCTATTGCTATTGCTATTGCTATTGCTATTGCTTAAATAGACCTTCAGGACTTCATATGCTAATTTGTTGTTAAGGTGGAAGCACATAGTTACTTTTTTGCTGGTGCTAGGAGTGAGCCTCCAGTCAGTGAAGAGTTTTCCAAGATTTTGAGATCTTTGGGGTATAAGGCTGTCTGCCATCTCCATGTATTTTTCCTTTGTACTGCTATGGCCAAATGATTCGTATGCGAACCTGCATCCCCTTGTTGCTGGCATATATGATATGTGTAAGTTGAATAGTGGAGCTGCCATTACTGAGCCTTGTGGGAGGCCGTTATTTAATCTTCTTAACTTACTTATATTGTCCCCCATTATTATCTGGAAGGACCCATCACTCAGCATGTTAGTAATTAGTCAACAGAGATTTTTGCAAGGAAAAATATGGCACAATTTGTGTGTAGGCTGCAGTTAGGTGTACAAACACAGCCGTAGTTTTGAGGCCTCATCAGAATCCTATAGCCTATTAGGCTTAGCACCTGGTAAGCCTTCAATATGGTAACTCTACAACATGAGTTTTGTAGCCAAGACTGTTTTCAGGGCACTAAGATAAGGAAGTGCTACTAGGAAGTTTTCAAAGAGAAGTCAGATTTATATATCAACAATTTCTTTCTACCAGGGTCACACATCAATCTATTTCTATTTCCATTTTCATCACCCTCTGCAATGATCTATGTATGTATTTATCTATTCTGACAGATTCCTCAATACAGATTATGACTAAGTTTCTCCTCCAGAGACAAGCAATGCAGAAATTCAGAAAAAAAATGTCTGAGAAAGAGACAGAACTTCCCTGGTTCAGCTCAATGTTCTGCTCTCTGTTTTAACTCAAAAGATGTCATTGGACAAGCCATTCCATCTCAGCTAAGAGCTCCAAGATAAGGACAGGATGGAATGTTAATGTGGGCTAAGGGCTATGTGCTCATGTTAATGCTCATTTTAGGAAAAAAAGCAAGCTGCCTTCTAAAGAGTCAGAACTTTAGTCCATCAACCTCCAAATGTTCACTAAGGATCATTAGTGATTTTCCAAGGTTTTCTATTAGCATTGTTCCAAACTCAATTTGAAATATGCAAAGGCTATACTTGGAAATTCCTGTATGCAAAGCACATATTCTATTACTGACTCTTCCTTTCTGATTATATAACAGCAAGGAAAATATATTTTCCCTAACAAATTGCTAGATTTCATTGTGTTTTACATTGGATTAAATGTGTTAACCTATCCTGAAAAAAAGAGTCCATTTTACTCACTTGAGGTAGCTGTCTCGCAAACAAATGTGATAAGGTTATCTTCAATCTTCTCAAAAGCATCAAAGTCGTCAACGATAAAGACATGACGTTCGCTAGGCTGACTTGCAATTTTGGCTAGTTCATGGTAATCAACATCAGCTACGCCAATAACAAATACACTGAAACCTGCAAAGACAAATAGCAACAGTTGAAACAATATGGACCTGGGAAGTTTCTCCAAGTTCTTCTAGGAAAAAAAAATGCTCAGTGGCCCATCCTATTAAGGCAACACTACCACAAGTACTACCCAGGTACATTGAGATTACAGCTCTCAGGGAAATCTTAGGGAGGAAATCAAAGCTGCATTACCAATACAGAGAGCCAGACTGGTGTAGTGATGGAGTTTCTGATGTAGAAACCAAAAGATTATGAGTTCTAGTCCCACCTTTGGCACAAAAGCCAGTTGGGTGGGTTTGGGCCTATCACACACTCTCTCTTGGCTCAACCCACCTCCCAAGGTTGTTGTTGTGGTAAATAGGAAGAGGAAAGAGTATTAGATATGTTCACTGCCTTGAGGAATTTATAAAGTAATAAAAGGCAGGGTAAATGGTGGAAATATATACAGAGATAGGCAGTACAGGTTGTCTTCCATTTACGATCGGTTGCTTGGTGACTGTTCAGTTATGATGGACTTCCAAAAGGAACTTACAACCCCATTCTCAGGTCCTTATAGCCACTATCACCTCCCTCATTTTTATGGCCATTTGTAGTGCCTTGCAGTAATGTGACCAGAATTTACATTTTTGCCAAAAAAAACACATTTACTTCAAGTTTGCAGCAAAAAGATCCCATGATGGACAATGGGCTTCTTAATCCCCATGCATTTACTTAATGACCACCTCAACTAAAAATAGTAAAATTGGGTTGGTCACCTGATGCCCTACGTTATGACCATCACGTCTTACAACCAGAAAAGGCAAGCTCCATTATAGTCAAAAGCCGAAGATTTACCTGTATTTCAAGGACTATAAACAATGCACCAATTCAGGCACAAGTGGCTATGAAGCACTCACAGTCCGAACTGTATATACTCCAGTCAATCATGATACAGAGCAGGGACGTGCAGTCACTAGAGGCAAGGGAGGCGGGGCCTCACCAGTCTCCTCAGAGAAAGGAAAGGATTTTAAATAA